ATCGAGCGAGTGTGTGCGTGCGTATGTGTACGAGTGCCTACGTATGAGAGTGAGAGAGAGAGAGAGATGTGAAGAATATTCTGTGAACACTGTGTGTCTCGCGTTAAACGTTGTTAGATTATACATAAAAAATATTATAAATGTTACACCGTTGTACGTAATGATTACCGGGAAAGGAGAGCAGAAGGGGACGGAGAGAGAACGAGAGAAAGAGAGAGAGAGAAAGAGAGCAAGGAGAAAAATAAATGAAGCTATGTATAAGAGAAAATTAATTAATGTAGTTAACGATGAAAATAAACGATACGACGATTACTACGTGCTCGTTTACATCCTTGGTGTCCCCTGCTTTCAGAGAACTGATGGCGGAACAGTAATTAAGGTTAGGTCACGTCGGACAGTTACAATATGTCTGCCTTACGTCGGTTAGATACGGCTGAAAAAAAAATTGGAGAACTTCCGGAGAATATTAATGGCAGTCGTTAGTCCGGGAAACTAATGCATCCGGCACGTGACGTCACGGTGAGATACTTTTATATAAATAACCTGTAATCCCTGATATACTTGTGCGAAAAAAGAATTCGGAAAATTAGGGTCGTCGAGGGATGGAGGATGGAGGAACCGGTGGATTCGCCGAACCGGAAGCGATCCTGCTGTCGACTGGAAGGAAGTGACGGCTCTCATTTAACCCATTATCCGCCAATGTCCCATTTTTGGAACACTTTTTCAAACTCTTTTACAGGCGTTAAAATAGTGAGAACATATCACTTGCTCCGTGAAAGTATTCAGAATTCCCGCTATTTTGTTTTAAATTATTGTGAACTTCAGGTTGAAACTAATAATCTCAATTTAATTTTCTTTTTCCTGATAAAAAAAATCTGATATAACATTGCCATGTCTCGGAGATCGAGTCGTCGGTGCAACTTTAATTTCTAGCCTTTTCGTGCAACCGGAAGTTCTCTGGTGCGTGCCAATAACAATCGAACCCGAAAACACATTCGCCTCCTTCAAATATAATACAATAATAATACAACCTGAGAAACGCATAAATCGAAACGTCGGAGTTTGAAGATTCCAATATGGCGGCCACGCATCGCCTGAAGCATCAATCGCAACAAATGTCAGGCGAGAACAATGGAAAATTTGAAATCGTCGACGCCAAACGGTTTGTTCAATTCTGCTTCGTCGCTCGAGCACAAACACGAGAATTAAAACGTGGACCGAACGATTTCTCAGCCTTAAGAAGTCTCGAGGCGCGTGACTTTCCGCGGGACATTCCGCGACGTTAATGGCGGCGGTTACGTCAGCCTCGGGACAAAGAACGCGGGAGTCATCGATGATTCAGAGTTCCTCGGACAATTCTGGAGAACACGTACGATACGAGCGCTAGAAAAAGGTGAACGAAAATAGTGGAATAATGAGACTGTAAATGACAGGAACGGGATTCGAACGGAACGGAACGGCGTGGCGCGGCGCGGCGGGAAATTTGAATTGTATGCCGGCGAAAGTTTCAACAGAGAGGCGGTGCCAAAATGGCGGGAGCGAAGAATAATTCGAAAGGGAAACGCCGGGCACGTTCTCACGTCGAAAACTTCCTCGGCTGCCGCGGCAAGCGTGAATTTGCATTTCAAAGTGCACACGCGCGGCGGTGCAACGTGTGCATCCGCGAAGCAAGCTTCTCCAGGCGAAACGATAAATGCTTGGAACGAGATAAATCATTCGGCCCGTCGGTTTAACAAAGCCCCTGCTGCCGGACTTTTAACCGTCGAATTTATATTTTCGCTAAACTCCGACGATCCCTTCGCTTTAAGCCGCGTCCACACTTCTCGATCCTCTTTACGGTTGTACGACCAAATATCGCCGACATTTTCAGCGATAACACTCCTCGGTGTGAACGATAAATATCGTATAACCTTCTTTCCTCTAAATATCGTCGACATTTTTATCGGTAACACTGCTCGATGTAAACGAGGAAGACTGCACACCTCTTTTTAATTTTGCAACAGTGGATGCGCGGTTTAAGAATTCTGCGAAAAAGCCGTAAAACTAGCCAGTCGAAAATCCTCCCGACACTGTAAAAAGTAACTTGGGGTCCCGCGGCGTCTCCGGCCGATAATTAATTCGTGGCTTCGACAAAAACAAGTCGCCGACACGGACGGAGCCTGGCTGTCTGCCGGCTTAAATCGCGGCGGTCGCTCGATCGGAACCGGTCGATATCGGTCGACCGTTTTGGTAAAAGCCGGATGCATAATCAACGACACGCAGGTGTCCAGCGTTTACTTTCTATCCGAACTTGAAATGCAGATTCGGCATTCGGGTTTTCTTGCTCGAACGGTGAACAGTGTTATTCTTACGAAGCTGTTAGCGTTCTGATAACTTACCAATTCAACAAGACTTTTAATTGGCAAGTCGAATGTTTGATAAACAATATTTAGCGCGACCAAAAATTAATGTTAATAAGTTTAATCAGCGTTACAATTTTTGTAATCCATATCAAAACTTTTTAATCCATAACACAGTTTTTAAAATCAATGTTATATTATTTAAATCAATGTCACAAGTTTTTTAATCAATGTCAAAATCTATTAATCGACATCATAATTTGTTAATCTATACAACAATTTTTTTAAATCGATGTTACATTTTTTTATCATTGTATCAATTTTATAAACCACAACACAATTCTTTAAATCAATGTTATAATTTTTTAATCAATGTTCCAACTTCTCAATCAGTACTACAAATTTTTTAACCGAAGTCGTGATCTCACAATCAATATCACAACTTTTTAATCGACGTTACATCCTTTTAATCGACGCAACAATTTTTAAATCAACGTATTAATTTCGAATCAGCATGACGATCTTTCAATCAACGTGGCAATTTTTTCATCGACGTGACAATTTTTCAATCGACATCACGCTTTTCAAACGAACGTTACAATTTTTTCATCAATGTTGCAATTCGCCTACGACACACCGAGGACCGAGGAGGCTTGGGCACTTAGGCGAACGGGCGTCCCCCTTTCACAGCGTCGCGTTTAAATTAACGACGATGATCTCGAGATGATCTTGAGGCGCTGCGTCCTCGTGTAAACCGTCTCCTCTCAGCGATTACTCCAGCCAGACTAATTAATATTCGCTCATTAGGGGCCAGAAGCTCGAAAAGTTCGGCCCGGCCGACTACCGAATTTATATTCGAGCCCGGGTAGCCGGGAACGCTCGTTAATCTCGCCACGGGCCGCATTAATTATCGAAACACGCCTCTGCCGCGAGTGTCTCGGCCTTGAACTTCGCGAAAAGTGGTCATTCCGGCTGAAGATGCTCGTGACTCAACGGTGGGTGTCGTTCAAAAGCCGGGGAGCATGCGGTCGATTATCGAAACGCACCTGCTGCCTGCTCGCTACACGAGAAAATCCATCTGACCCTGGGACCCAGCGTTCACCTCCAGCTATCCATGAGTCATCTCGTGAGGCCATGGGTCTCCATCTTGAACCGCGAAGCGACAAAATGAACCGTGAGCTAGACTCGTTGGAACCTAGACTCGTTGGAGCCTAAACTGTTTGGAGCCTAGACTCTTCAAGGCATCGTTTGACTTAGTGCAATTTCCTCAAAAGAGTAGCAACATTCTGAGATCCAAATGAGGTCTTCGTTTAGGGCAAGTTCGAGGTTGCTGGAATTTTCAAAGACTTCAAAGAGACTTCAGAATTGAGGACCTGGGACCTTGAACTATCTAGTTCAACTGTGTCAAAGGGTTGGATTATTAAGTTGTCTCATATAATTCTTGGTCCAGATGAAGTTTAAAGGTGCTAGGGTCTTCTAGGTGCAGGAATATTTTCAATCTTGATGATCTGGGATCTTGAACTATGCAGTCTAAATATGTCAAATGATTAGCTTATTACAATGTACTCTATAATTCTTGGTCCAGATGGAATTCAAAATGACTAGGGTCTCCTAGGTCTAGGAATGTTTTCAATCTTGATGATCTGGGGCCTTGAACTATGCAGTCCAACAATATCAAATGACTAGCTTATTACAATGTCCTCTATAGTTCTTGGTCCAGATAGAATTCAAGATTGCTAGGGTCTCCTAAGTCTAGGAATGTTTTCAATCTTGATGATCTGGGACCTTGAACTATGTAGTCCAATAATATCAAATGACTAGCTTATTACAATGTACTCTATAGTTCTTGGTCCAGATAGAATTCAAGATTGCTAGGGTCTCCTAAGTCTAGGAATGTTTTCAATCTTGATGATCTGGGACCTTGAACTATGTAGTCCAATAATATCAAATGACTAGCTTATTACAATGTACTCTATAGTTCTTGGTCCAGATAGAATTCAAGATTGCTAGGGTCTCCTAAGTCTAGGAATGTTTTCAATCTTAATGATCTGGGGCCTTGAACTATGTACTCCAACTATGTCAGAAGACTGGTTTATTACAATAGTATCTCCTACGTCTAGGAAAGTGTTCAATTTTGACGATCGAGGACCATTGAACTACGTAATTCAACTATGTCAAAAGACTGGCTTGTTACAAAGTCCCGTATAGTTCTTGGCCCAGATGAAGTTCAACGTTTCTAGGATCTCCTAGGCCTAGAAAAGTCTTCAAACTCGACGATCTGGAACCTTGAACCACGTAATCCAACTACGTCGAAGTTCCACCTGATCCCAACGTCGCGCCTTAATCCTCGGTCGAATCCAAGCTCAAGATTAGCATCTCCATATCTCGTCTAGACCCATAAAGACCAGCAGAAAGACTGTCCAAGATCCGCAGCTCCATCGAGGAATGCTCTACCGAAAGCTGGCATAAATAACTCCATTAAGCGTCGTCTCGTCGCGAAGATAATTGCCCGGCTAATTGCCGTGGCGAGATTAGCAACCCGTCCTTTGACCTTGGGCCCCCGCGACAGTCACCCTGACCCGCGTTAAACGGTCCCCCACCGTGTCGACACGGACAATTACACCTGGTCAGGTGAGTATAAAGCGACGAAGCGCGAGCCCGGACAGCTGTTTAGTGGGACCGGTTCTCTCGCGCGGTTCATTTCCGAGAGCGGCTCGTAGGCCCGGCATTTTTATCGGTCGATCGGCCCGGTGTACACGGTCCCTCGATCTCCCCGGTCGGATCTACCGCAGTCGGTGTGCCACGGTCGCTCGATCACGATCCGAAGGGCCGGAGTCTACTTTAAGGGCGACGCCGGAGCCCTCGGAATCGATCCTACGTCGGCAAAATGGCGCCCGGAGGGTACGCGATCCCGGTTACGGTGACGTTAATGATGGTCTACACGGGCCTGGCGGACAACACCTGGCCGTCCTGCGTCGGCAAGACTATTCTCAGTGAGTATTTTACGGTTTTCGACGTGGGAGCCGTATCTTGCCCTTCGCGGCCGTTCCTCGGACCTAGAGGCGAGGCCAACATGCCAACATTTAGGGTACCAAAGATCCGCGCGATAGAATGGTGGCGAATTCGACGCGATCTTGATAGAAATACAGCAAAATTCTCCGAAATTGTTCCACAACTTGTAAAGAAAAATGCAGGGCTCGGGAAAAATAGATTTTCGAAATAGTAAACAGACTATAAATATTTTCATCTTCTCGTTTGGTAGAATAATAATGGCATCCGAATATATTTGAAAGGCTGTTTCCATATGTAATTACTATTTTTACTACAATTTATTTGCTAAATTCAGTAGATTTAAATGTAAGATATATTAAGATACATTAGGGAGAAATTGCCTGTACTGTATGAGATTACAGTAAATTCTCTCGAATTGTCCCGCAGCTTGTGAACAAAAATGGACAATTCGGGAATAGGGGATACGATTTTTCGCGTTTCTATATTTGTCGATAATCGACGGCTATAAAAACGAGCCGCGGGGCTCGAACAATCGTATCTCTTCTTCCCAAATTGTCGATTTTTGAAGGGCTTGGGAGTAAATAGATTTATAGTTTACAAATATTTATAGTTTATTTACTGTTTCAAAAAACTATTTTCTCCCGAGCACTTCAAAAATCGACAATTGGGGAAGAAGAGATACGATTATTGCAGAGCTGGGGAAGAATAGTTTTTTGAAACAGTAAATAAACTATAAATATTTGTATCTTATATTTATCTTATATATAAATCTACGGAATTTGGCAAACAAATTTATTTCTTAAATAATAGTTACATCTGAAAATAGTCTTTCAAATACATTTGTATGCTATTATTATTCTATCAAACGAGCAGATAGAAATATTTATAGTTTGTTTACTATTCCAAAAATCTATTTTTCTCCAGCTCTGCAATAATCGTATCTCTTCTTGCCAAATTGTCGATTTTTGAAGTGCTCGGGAGAAAATAGTTTTTTGAAACAGTAAATAAACTATAAATATTTGTTTCTTATATTTATATTATATATAAATCTACGGAATTTGGCAAATAAATTCATTTTTCAAATAGTAATTATATTTAAAAATAGTCTTTCAAATACATTTGGATGCTATTATTATTCTATCAAACAAGAAGATAAAAATATTTATTGTTTGTTTACCATCTCAAAAATCTACTTTCACCAGCAGTGCAAAAATCGCGGCCCGATTTTTAATAATTACCGATTGTCAACAACAGCCGCGACCTGAGCGCAAATTAGAGAGAAATTACTTAAATCGAAAATTTCGCGGCTGAAGGTTCGCGCCGGAAACCGCCGCCCGGCGGCCATGTTGTCTCTCTCGATAGCGTGGGTGATTCACCTGTCCGCGAAACGATTTGAATAATCGTCGCAGATAAGAACGTGCCTGGCCATAAGCACGTGTTTAACGAGCCTCTTGACTCGATCAACGTTCGCTCGTGTATTACCAGGTCCACTCGACAGCGGCCGACTTGTCTCCGACTCTTCGCATTGTCACCACGCGTTTGCCCCATTATCATACGTTCCCCGGCGAACCTAAACGTCGGCCGCCAAGAAAAATCGTTCCGCTGTCGCCGGTTGACAGCGCGCATAAATTCCGCCAGCTTAATTTCAATTTTAGCCCCGAGAAAGATTTGTTTGCCACCGCCGCGGAACACAATCGAATTCGTTTCCGATCACCGATCACACCGAATCGGTTCGTCGCGAAATTAAGCTCATTTCGAATTCCAGCACCGGCCAGAATTTCTCCGTTCTCGCCGGTTCGAAATAACGTAATTTCCTCCGGCCGGTGCATAAAGCAGCTCGAATAATTTTATTAACGGCGATACGAGGAACGGCCGGGCAGAGGGGGGAAGGGGGCCGAGGAGGCGGTAAACAATTTATTGCCGATCGATTGTTCGTTGCGCCGAGATAAAGCGGTGCGGAATCGGAAGGCGGCGACGATGAAAAAGCAGACAGTGACCGGTGTTTACACGAATTAATCAATTCGGCGAATTTTTATCGAGCGACGCCAGCTTCCGGTCGCCATTGTCGCGGCACCCTACGCCGCCGACGATGGACAATGAGAGATCGGCCGAGCAGATTTTTCATTTGCCTCTCGGCGCGCGGCGGAAACGAACGAAGAAGTCGACGACGGTCGAATCGGGAATCGGAATGGTGAAATCGCGCGGGCCGAAAATACATCGCGGGGACCGGTTCGGAGGACCGATTTCTAATTTATTTATCGACCGCGGCTTGGCTTCCCCGGCCCGCGCGTGAACGGACCGATCGATATCGGTATCGGTTTCGGCGCATCGGTCCAGCAGCGATGGAAACTGACCGGCAATGTTTGTACGCGGCATCACCGCCGACCACTATTTATTTAACAAGCACGGTGTTCCCACGAAATCCATTTAATCGCGGGCCACGAGACAGAATGGAGTTAGCAGGTGTCGGCCCGAATCGTTACGTCGCCGGCCAAGCCCTGCTCATTTCCGGTGCAAAAAGAAGCCGCCTATACCCTTCCCTTTCTCCTCCCCCTCCACCCATGTCCGTGCCGTTGCAGTCCCTTCTCATTCATTTGACTCGCCCGAGGCCGCGAGGCCTATTCTCCTATTGCAGCCTATTTTTGCCGCGAAATTACCGAGTTCCCATAATTTAACATTTTATTAAACTGTGGCTTGGCGACAGTAATAATATAATAATATAAAAATAATAACGATATAATAATGATATAATAGAAATATTGTAATAAATAATAGTATAATAAATAGTATAATAAATAATATAATAATGACTTTATTTATCAACGGAAGGAACCCTTGTCACAATAAAGAAGAGAGAAAGAGAGAGAGAGAGAGAGAGAGAGAGAGAGTAATAATATGGTAGCAGTCACGCAACGACGGATGAAATAAAAAAAACAAAAATCAATAGAGGAGAAGAAAGGGAAAAAAATTTACACGCAGGAATATTATTTTTCGTCGCTATTGTTTAATTAAATAAATTATTGTCGACGTTGTTTCGGCAGAATTGCAGAAAAATCGGGGAACAATTTCAAAAATTTGCGGGCGCGGGAAATTTGAATCGGCGAACGATTAAAGCGATGAAAAAATTCTGCAGTCCAAAAAAAGTAGTTTAACGTCTTGATTGACTGTTATTACTAATTAAAAATAATTTAGTATTATTATTATTATTATTATTATTATTATTATTATTATTATTATTATTATTATTATTATTATTATTATTAATATTATTATAAATTGGTTTACTTTTGCGTAAAATTCTCTAATAACGGCCGACCAATTTGAAAATAGACGAGCGCGGCGAGCAGTCCGAGCGCGGGAAATTCGAATCGGTAAACGGTAATAAACGATTTCAGGGCGTCTTGTCCGGCGCACGGATTTCCCGTGATTGAGCAAACCGTGCTGCTTTTAATTCGCTGATCTAATCGAGCCTGGTGGCCGCGCATCCAGCCGGCCCGGGCTATTTTTAGAATCGAATCGATCCTCCCCGTCGTCCTATCGAAATGTAATAGATTCCAATTTTCTCCCCGTAAATAATGTACGAGCTGAATTATTCATGAACCTGGCCCGGGGAAGTAGTCGAACGAAAACCGGAGCAATAAACCTGTCCCACCGATTCGACTACTTTTTTCCTCTCTGCCTCTCTCTCTCTCTCTCTCTCTCTCTCTCTCTCTCTCTCTCTCTCTCCCTCCCTCTCTCTCTTTCTCTCTCTCTCTCTCCCTCTCTCTCTCTCCCTCCCTCCCTCTCTCTCTTTCTCTCTTTCTCTCTCTCTCTCTCTCTCTCTCTCTCTCTCTCTCTGTCTCTATTTCTCTTTCCTTCGTCGCTGCCTCTTTTTTCAGCTGTTAATCGCGCGGGGCTTCCGCGGAGCGGATCAATCAGTCGTCCATCTTGTAAAATGCCTCTCGCACTTAAAGCCGACGACGAGCCGCGGCTCTTTCCTCGTCCGACGAAAATATTATCCTCGAAAATTCCGAACCGGTCCCCGTCCACGTGTGCCCAGTTTTTACAGTTACCGCGCTATATTTAATTGCCGGTTGCCTAATTAACTTCAAATTCAAATCACACGACGCGTCCCGTCGCGTCAACAACGACCGCTCGTCACGATTTCACCGGCTCGTTTCGGATCCAAACGCGAAGAGAATCTTCTAGATTTTTTCTATTCCGAATCTTTTATCCAGAAGATATTCGATGCTTCTTCTTCTTCCTCTTATTTTTACCTCTTCCGAGAGATTATATTACGTTGGCAAGAAAGTAATTTCGGTTTGCACGAATAGATAGCGTTACGTTTGCATTGTCATTCTTTTGTTAAGGATATAATTTGTTTGTCTTCAGCTTTGGTAGTTGACACGTTTAGGTTACTATAGAAACAAATTCCGTGTAGTTTTGTGCGCAACCGATGGTTTGCTGTCAATTTTAACACGGAGTGTAAAAACGAACATTTTCGACACATTTTATTCTTTTAGTTTCATAAAGGCGAGAAAGCGACCGAGGCTCGCAAAGAGATATGCGAAGTTTATGGCGTCGATTGCTTAACAGCTGTCTCTTATACACATCTAGATGTGTATAAGAGACAGGAGAAATAGAGACAGAGAGAGAGAGAGAGAGAGCTGTCTCTTATACACATCTAGATGTGTATAAGAGACAGGCTTAACAGAACGCACGTGTCAGAATTGGTTCGAAAAATTTCGTTCCGAAGATTTTTCACTCAAAGATGACCAACGTTCTGGTCGACCTTCCGATGTTGATGAGGACATAATCAAAGCCACAATTGAATCGAATCGTCGCATAACTGTTCGAGAGATTGCAAAAAGGTTAAATGCATCACACGCGACAATTGAATATCGCATAAGATGTCTTGGACTTGTTAAGAAGCTCGATGTTTGGATTCCGCATGAATTGAAAGAAATTCGCTTAACACAACGAATCGATATTCGCGATACGCGTTTGAAACGTAATGCGATCGACCCCTTTTTGAAACGAATTATCACTGGTGACGAAAATTGGATCGTTTACAATAACATTAATCTAAAAAGGTCATGGTCCAAACGTGATGAACCAACACAAACCATATCGAAAGCCGAATTGCATTGGAAAAAGATCATGCTGTCAATTTGGTGAGTCTATAAGGGTGTATTTTTAGCTGCTTCCAAGCAACCAAACGATCAACTCGGATGCTGTCTCTTATACACATCTAGATGTGTATAAGAGACAGAACCAACACAAACCATATCGAAAGCCGAATTGCATTGGAAAAAGATCATGCTGTCAATTTGGTGAGTCTATAAGGGTGTATTTTTAGCTGCTTCCAAGCAACCAAACGATCAACTCGGATGTTTACTGTCAACAACTACTGAAATTGGAGGAAGCGATCAAAGGGAAAAAGCCAGAATTGGAAAATCGCAAAGGAATTGTGTTCGACCACGATAATGCGAAGCCTCGCACATCTTTAGCAACACGTACAAAATTATTGGAGCTTGGTTGGAAAGTGATGTCGCATCCTCCATATAGCCCCGACCTTGCACCATCGGATTATCATTTATATCGAAGTTTACAAAACTTTTTAAATGGTAAAAATTTCAATAATAACGATAGCCTCGAATCGCAATTGATTGAGTTCTTTACTGATAAGGACCAGACGTTTTATAAGCGCGGAATCATAAAGTTACCAGAAAGATGACAAAAGATCATCGATCAGAATGGAAAATACTTGACCGATTAAAGTTCATTTCTTGTATAGAAAAAATTCAATTCTATTTCACATTGAAATACCGAAATTACTTTCCTGCCAACACGATAATACCGGACCGCTCGGATCGTCAAAAATTGTACGGCGCCGTCGATTTTCCATCACCGGGATAATCAACTCTTTTTTTCTTGGTCCCGAAGTCGGAATCGCGAAATTCTTGCACGGCCGAGAAGTTAATCGGTGGAAACAAAGGCGATAAAATAGAACCGGTCGGCATGCGAGGAAACTCGATTGCCGATCCGGTCTCTCCGGCAGGCTGGAAATTTGCATAAGATTGCACGGGGCTGTGGAGCTGGGGTGGGGGGGGGGGAGGGAGTAGGTTGTAGAGGCGAACAGCCGGAACCTCGTTTTCGTCGGAGGGACTAAAAGTTATTAAGGGGAAAGAATACGGTGGAGCGAAAGTTTCCCCCTCCCCCTCCGCCCGCCCCTCGGAAGACAGAGGGAACGTCGTTAGAGCAGATTCCGTGAAAAGTTTTCCGGCGAGTTGGGCAATCTAGCGGCTCGAGAAAACGGATGAAAGACTGACGAAGAGCGACCGTGGCGTCCCTGGTGGGGGTGACGGGGGCCGCGGCGGCGGGGGAAACGGGGCGGCTGAAGGATAGACTTTCCGCGACGACCAACGATGGACATTCGATTTTCCCTCCGCCACGAATTATCTTGACTATCTGGCTGCATAATAAAGCAACTCCTCGCGCGCGGTTCGTGTTTTCTTTGTAAATCGCCGGGAGTGGGGGGGGGGCGTCGGTGGGCGTTTCTATAATCCTATCCCGCCCACGGACTTTGGCATTGCGAATCTTACGCTTGAAATATTCAGAACGGGTTCTCTGTGAGTCCTCGTTTTTCTTACAAGTTGCATAATGGAACATCATGCTGCTTGGCGCAGCGTAACGCGGTTTAAATGAAAATAAGGAGTGAGGGGAAGGGGTGGAGGTGTACCTCAGTCGGGAATAAAACGGCTGTCACAGCCGGAGTAATGCCTTCTCAATCGTAATGAATTTTAAGGGAGCTCGTACCCCCGTCGGCTTCTGAACAACGGACTGTCTTATTATTTTCATAAAAATAAGGGGCGGGGGAGTGGGGGGAATGGAAGATCGAGAAACGGCTGGCAAATCGTCATCGTCGATCAGCTGGAAAATTACCGTCATGGTCGAGGAAATACTTTCTTCGTCGCGATTGAATTATCGGGACGCTTCGACCCTCCGCGAGCCCTCTGACAAATGTAGAAATTCCGGTGAAATATCCAGCGGAATTTTTCATAGCGAACCCCGTTTTGCAGGATCCGGCGGCTTATCTTGCGAGGAGAAGCAGGCCATTCTGGACGAGCATAACCGGCTGAGACAGCTGGTGGCTCTGGGACAGATCCACGGCCAGCCGGGGGCTGCGAACATGAGAGAAATGGTGAGCATCCCCTCGCCTAATAACCCACGGTAAATCTTAAGAACGTTTTTAAAATCGACCGCGAGAATTCGCGGCGCAATTCGGTCCCGAAATTCGATTCTGCTGATCGGTGGCCGCTTGGGGGAGGGGCGACGACCATAAGCGACTGAAGGGGGTAGTTCTTGTTAACACTAGATTTACGGAACCCGTCAAAATGACGGGTCACTAATTTTTTAATTTTTCGATTATTCATATCGTGAACATACATTTATGAATTATTTATTCAATTTATATGTTACTTTTGTATTTATATTTATTATAAACAATTTTACCATTACAAACAATATTTATTTAACGATTTATTATAAGCAAGTTTAATAACTTTTATAAACTTTTATTGTTACTTTTATAAAATAATATAAAACAGCTGTTTTTAGTGCTTCATAAATCTAGTGTTAACAAAGAAAATTCGAGAAAACGTTTGCCGAGTTTTCGAAGGAATAGAATAGCATCGACGGAGCAATAAATTGCAAAGGCGTAGAACCAGCCCAGGGAAATTCGCAGCAACCCGAAATTCGGCAATTCCGGGAGAAATTGCACGGATCGAATGTTTTGGCGGAATTTGAATTTTTAAGGGAGCAGGGATTTTTGGCGCAGACATTTTTCAGAACAGGAAGTCGTTTTTTACAGGTGTGGGACGACGAATTAGCAGCCGTCGCTCAGAGGTGGGCGGATCGATGCGCGGAAATGCACGACAATTTGCGAAACGTTCGTAAGTAACATTCCCGTCCCATCGGCGATATTATTCGATGCAAGTTGCTTCATAAGAAATTCAACCGACTAAATAATACTGGAATAAACAAGAAAGAAGAACGAGAACTGTACTTTATGGTAATTTATTTTTGTAACAAAATGTTCCCGTTGTTCTCGAACGACAGAAAGATTCGCGGTGGGCCAGAACATAGCCAGAACGTGGACGACGAGGTCCCCAGGGCCGTACGACGACCAGCCGAACTGGAGGCAGCGGATCTACGACTGGTTCAAAGAGGTGCAACACTATCGCGCCGGTTACAGCGACGAGACCGGTCACTATACCCAGGTGAGCTCTGACTGGATCGTCGAAAAAAATGCTTTCTTCGCTCGAGAATCAAGTACGAAATCGAGTTTGAACTGGTTTCAGCTCGTCTGGGGCGACACGTTCCTCCTGGGCTGCGGGTACTCGTTCTACTACGATCCCGCGCGCGGCTATACGAAGAATTATGTTTGCAACTACGGTCCCAGGTGAGAGCTTTCCGCTTGTTCTTCATTTTTCCAAGCGCCGTGAAAGTTGAACAAAACTTTTCCAAACGTTTCCCGACCGCCTGAAGTCGATTCTAATTTCACCGAAAACGAAGGGGCGGGTTTCCGAGTTCGGACAGCTTTTTTTCGAAAACTTTATCATCACGATCCATTTATTCTGTACGACGAGTTAATGTTTGTTAAACTCTCTCTCTCGCCTCCGGAAGTCGAATAATATTTATCCGAAAATGAAGAAGCATTCTCGGGGAGAATTTAATAACGCGCGCGAGAGGCAAAAGGGGTTTGCATTTAAATAACGCGGGATTTTTCTAAAATCGAGGGAAATACTCGACAATGTGGTCGGGGGGAGGTGGGCGACCGCGACGACGCCCGGCAAAAGAGGGGAAAATGAGGGAAATCTGCGGCGCGATATTTCAACTTTCCGACGTGTTCCCTGCAGCCGTGGAAAAAGAAAACGGAATGCAACGTGTATTGAATCCGGCCGAAGCTTCCATAAATTTTCCACGCTCCTCGAGTATTTCCTGTCAATCGGTAGCTTATTACTGTCGACAAATTGAACGTGTCGTCGTCCTCGTCGTCGCCGCCGCCGTCGTCGTCTGCAGCCTGCCGCCATTTCCCCTTCCCCTACGGGGAAGCGAAAAAAAGTCTCGACCTGCCACCGGGAATATTTATTCCCAATTTCATCGAACGTGACAAAAACGAGATCCGAACGCCGGCAAAAAGAGATTACGTCGCACCCCTGAAGCATTGCTTAGAAATTCACCGATAATTATAACCGTGCCGTTTTACTGCGGGAACGATCTTCGGGCCAGAAGCAAAATTACCGTGCTCTGGAGAAACATCCATAAAATCGACGAAAATATTCATCAATCCTTGTACAATATTCATGCATCGACGAATATATTTTTGTACGACGATATATTTTTTATTCTATTTATTATATATGCATATAACCAGGGGTTGGGAAATACTTTCGATCGGTGTAGAAAAATTGCGCGAGCGTCGCTGTATAGGGCGATCTAAAAAGATCGATAATTATCGACGTATACGAAATTATGTAAATAAAATAAAAACGAAAAAATATGTGTAATAAAACAAATATTATTTTATTTATATAATTTCGTACACGTCGATAATTATCGACTTTTTTCAATCAACCAATACAGCAATACAAACATTTAACGAGGCTCGCGCAATTTTTATGCACCGATCAAAAGAATTTACCGAACCCTGGCTACAAATCGCAGATTTACGGGCACGCTATTCGCGCGGAATAATTGGGCACGGCTAATGGTTTTTCTATGATAATTACGGTGGGGGGGATGGAAGTTGTTCGAAAGGTACAACGGCGCGGATAGAGATCCCGGTAGCGGGGAAAGTTGGCGAACAAAAATGGAACAGCCCTCGTAAGAAGGCCGAGAACCGGAAGTAAGAGGAGGAAGTTAACCGACGCGGCGCAGGGGTTTCCCGGAGATTTACGGGTATTTTCCCCGTCGAGAAGTTCTAACGCGGCGCGACGTTTTCGATTCGACATAAATCATCCCTCGGCACGGCTTACGGGTTATGTTTTCATTGTTGTGCAGCGGCAACGTGCTCGGCTTTCAACCGTACCAATCGGGACAGCCGGCTTGCGGCACCTACGGGATGTCTTATTCGAATCGATACGCAGGACTCTGCGGTGAGTATCGAGCATCGTTCCCGCTCTTGGACGATGCTCTTTGTCCTCGGTCGATTATTCGCCCCGGCGAAACTATTACGTTCGATAGCGAATCGATTTTGACAAATATTCGAACTGTTCCAGCTCGCGGCAGCTACTATCATCTGGGCGCCTACTGTGCTTATGGTTAACGGCCAACGTCCCCTCTGAAATCGTGCGAGTTCGAGGAAAAGCGTGATTTCCCTATCGAAGCTCCTCGCCGAAGAAGAATAGCGAAAAGGACACGCAGGGTTGCCATTTTCTGTGTCACGATACAATGTTTCTGAAACCGAATTGCCCCGAAAGCAATTATTGCAACTGGAAGCGTAGCAAATTGATTTCTCGATCGAGCGAAAAATGGCGGGGTTGTTGCGGTTGCCTCGGTATCGGGGCCACGGTTTGAGAGACACTGGTCTAGTTAACCTTTTCTAGTCTGCGAAAGATAGTCTGTGTACCGTAGTGTATAGTTAACAAACGAAAGTTAAGAAAGCCGTGTGAATAAGTTAGGGGGTCAGCGGTGGGGAAAAATAAAGCGTTGAAAAGACCGTAATCTGGCGCTGGGGGATGAAACGGGGGAGCTGTGCAACATGCTGGTAGGCTGTTGCACCCCGCGCACCATGCATTTCTCATCGCGTCCCTTACGTGACCCTGCCACGCATAAATATTTAAAAGCCACAAAGATACGGTGCACGCTTTTTTTTCCCCCAACCCTCTGCAACCCTCCTGCACGTTGATTACACTCGGCGCGAGCTGTTTCGATTAATTTCAGCCGTGCCGGGAACCTATCATCATTGAATTGTCATTAAGAACGATGACTGTACGCGCGTCGACCGCTATCGTTAATAATCTGAAGTATTTATTGACAAAGTATTGTAAATACGTAGCTGTTACGTTCGAAATATTTTTAATAAATGCGTGCAATAATAACTGGCCGATGTTTTTCACTCCCTAGAATATTCTGGTAATTGTTATAAAATAGCAATTATTTTATGTTAAAGGGCATTCTTCGAGCTTCAATTTGAGTACACGAACGTCAAACAATATCAACGGGAAAGCGTAGAAAAGAATTTTTTAAAACGCATCGAGTTCGGGCATTTGCTTCACCGAGCAACCATTTCGTAATTTTAATTTTCAGGTGTGCAAGAGTGATTGTTTTTTAATAGAAATATACTCGTCGTGAAGTGTATTTTCCAAGGTACATTTCGAGCTAATTGCATGTTTAATTGGAGTCCTCAATCGTTCAAAATTTATTACGGTATTAAATGGAATCGAATAATCTCAATTCGTAGCTAAAACGAAGTATACGATATACTCGATTCGATGAATAGTTAAAGGTGTTTGTGCTGCCATCCGCGGGAGAATCGCCAAGTTTGTCGCCGCGTTAGTTCCAGTATTCGCCGCTAGATGAGGCGGTCGGTACCTTTGTTGCGCTGTGAATATCAGATCTAATTCGGCGACAAACTTGGCGATTCTCCCGCGGATGGCAGCACAAGCACCTTTAACTATTCATCGAATCGAGCATACCGTATACTCCGTTTCAGCTACGAATTAATACCATCAGAATCCATGAAATACCGTAATAAATTTTGGACGATTCCGGGCACCGATTGAAGATGTAATTAGCTCAAAATGAGCCGGAGAAAATATACTTCACGACAAACGAAGTTCTGTCCGAAACCAATCGTTCTAACCTTCTTAAAAATTCGAACTACGAAAAGGTCGCTGCTCGGATTAAACTCTCAAATCGGCTAATCGTAAAAAAATGATTCTCCACCCTTCCCATCGTGATTTCCCAACGTTCGAGCACTCGAATCCAAGCCGAAAGAATGCACTTCGCGTTAGGCGCACAACGAAATGAGAATAATTCCGATAACATGCTGAATACCTAAAGATAGCGAGCGATTGCCCAAGGACCAAGGTCGCGACGGCTCTGCAATGCAAATTCGATTCCGCCGATATACCGATATCCACATAAAATCATTGAAAAAATGTCCCAACGAACGATCCCAGTCCGATCCCGACGAAAGTTTCGCGTCGTTTTAGCCACCCTTGAAACCAGCAAACCGAACCATAAATTCGCCGGGACGACAATCGATTGCGGCCGACTAGATAAAAAAATACTCGGCGCGACCACAGAACGCGGAACGGTATAAATTACTCGCTAATCGGTACGTCACTTTTACTTCGCGGTGTTGCGCCATCGTTATCTGCGCGAATTAACGCGGAAAATGGGAATCGGCGCGTGTTCTCCCGGCCGTCGCGTCGCGTCGCGTCGCGTCGCGTCGCGTCGCGTCGCGTCGCCTCGCGCCTCGCTGCGCGGCCTCCTCCGTTACCGGAATAAAAGAGTCTTTGGATATGACGCACTTTATCGTCCGTTCTTTTTCTCATCGGTTCCCGATTGGATGCTGATACATGGTGTACGATATACGACGGGATGACGACGTCGGCGTGTGCCGCGGCTCCGATGGCGGCGAGAGCGTGTGAGGAAACCTCTCTCGGCGAACTTCACCGTCGCGCGTGTGACATCACGCTTCATTGTTGGAGGTTTACGTCATTCTCGGGTCTGGTCTCGAGTCGGTGCGCGCGGTCTAAAGTAGTAGCCTTTAGACGCGTGCGGATCGGTGGCGGGAAGTGATAGACAGAGAGTGTGTGGCCGCGGGAGAAACGGAGACCGAGACGTCGAAGCAGAGAGGAAGAGTGAGTGAAAGAGAGACAGCGCGCGCGAGAGAGAAAGAGAGAGAGAGAGAGAGGAGAAGGAAGAAAGAGGGAGAGAGAGAGAGAGAGAGAGAACCGTGTGTGGCGAACAAACAGAGGCGAATATCACGGTGTGCCGCGGCTGCGCGAGAAACACAAGTCGGGCATGTCGTTTCTCCTCGAGACCGTTCGGTGTTGTCGCGGAAACGGCCAGGCTCGCTCGTGCCATGAGATCCGTCGAGGATCGACCCGCCGCTGCGAGGGATCAATAAAAAATTAGCGTTTCGACAAACCGAAGAGGAGAAACGGCCAGGCCGTCCAGGCAGCGTCGTGGAGAGTGGTGGTGGTGGTGGCCAACAACGCTGCTGTTGAGGAGAGGAGAGGAGGCGAGAAGAGAGAGAGAGAGACAGATAGAGAGGCGAGTAGCCGGAGAGTGAGTGAACAAGAGGAAAGACGGAGAGAGAGAGAGAGCGAGAGAGAGTGAGAGAGAGAGAGAAAGAGGGAGGGAGAGAGACGGACACGAAGCGCGACGTTCAACGGTGGCGGAGCGCTGATTTGTGATTTCGTCGTCGGTTACCGATATTTCCGAAGAAACCAGACGACCCGCCGTCGGGTACGGGACCCGTCCACACGCTGCCCAAACCGGAGGGTACGTTACGCGCCGTCGGGACGCGCGCCCTGTCACTGTTCCTAGCATGTAACGACAACGGCCCCTTCGACGACGCGCTCTTACATTTTAAATATAACGGTGTGTATAAATAAGTATGAGCAATAGCGGGAGTGCACCGACGGAGTACTCGACGCACATTTTTCCAAAGAGTCCGCGCCGCCTCTGATACACCCGTTCCGTGACGGCGCGTCAAATGCAGCCGGATTCCACGGTCTCCGCCGAGCAGTTCACCACATATGTTCTTGATGCGTGGGCACGCAGCACCGAACTATCGTCAAGGTTAGTGTGTCTGACAGACATACCCGTTCGCGTACGGTGGCTCGCACCGACGCACTCTGCCGTTTCGCTCTCTCACGAATTATCCGGAGACTTTCTTGTCCGGGGCCCTACGGGACAAGAAAGGCACTCGCTTCGATTCCCATCTACATACATACACTTCGGCAGGATCCCGTTTGGGGACTTTGGTGCGCTGGAAAGGAACGTTGGGAGACGCGCGCGTCCACCGAGTGGTGTATGCTTATTTATGATCGCGCTGAGATCACGTTGCTTCTAGCATATAATAGAAAGGTTAGCTCGGGTGTCGACTTCCAACTTAGACCGTAGGCCGGCGCGACTCTAATTCCTGTTTTCGATGGAGCTGTGCCCGTGGGAAGTACGTGGTCTTCGGTTTTGGTCGCGGGCACTTTCGAGCCTTTAAGTTCCTCAAGGTTGCGGCTAGTTATTTCATGTGCGTTCGACGTGAAACTCTGTGATTTATCCAGCACGTTTCCCACGTAGGTGTATGCCTGCGATCAAGGGAAAATCTTGCCCCCTCCCCATTCCCCTCTCCCGGGTTCTCAGTTGTTTGTGCGAAACAGTTGGTTAGGGACTTAAGTCCGTTTTACTTGTGGCACTTCGTAGCGACGGTCGGGTAACTAACGAAGATCGGTACGTCGGTGTCGAGGAGGAATAGGAAAATCATAGTTCTCGTTCTTTCAGAATGCGAACGAACGTGCAGGCGGTTTATTAAAATTTTCTCTCTCGTCCCCGAATAACACCGCACGCGCACGCTTTTTCTTTTCTTTCTGTCTTTTATTTTTGACACTTCCGATATATAGGTTCGCAATGTTTACAAATATTTTGGGGAAACGTAAACACAGTTTCGAGCATCGTCGAATCTCGATCGGCTGCTCCTTTTTTTTGCAAGTGTATCCTTCCATTTCGCTTTCTGTAATTGCGTGTGGTTTTTAGTAAAAATTTTGTACACAGGTCCGATTATATTTACATAACTACGTCGGGCAAATTTAACACCGAACTGTTTACGTTCGGAATGATGTTTGGCCGACGACTTCATCCTGTGTCACTTTTCGCTGACAACGTTCTCTGCCTCTTTGAAAACAGTTTTCACCCCGACCAAACAATTTATGAACTGTGACTTCGTTTGTCCCTAGATTGATACCCAGGTTGCATTGCAACCCTGTTGTTTCTGAACAACACAGGAAACACGCGAAGTAATTTTCGTTCGTAATCGATGATTTATAAATAATACGCAAGCGGTATACGTTTCTGATAAAATAATGCAATAAACAAAATATTCCAGATCCAAAGTGACACTAATTTTCTATCTTCCGCAGAAAAATCAAGGATTGTCCTTCGCTGGACAATTAAGTACAGACAAATTGGATGAGAAGAAGTTCACTCTATGCTCTCTGAACAATGAAGCTTCATTGTACACACATGGAACTTTGCATCGACCAGTGTCAACAAATTCTATGTGAGTATCAAAGCGGTCCGAGCGCGACACGGTCTTATGGTAGGCATGTTCCAGGGGTAAAAGGTGCACGTAATGCTGTTGCTTGTTCTACACTGGACGCGAAGCCACAAAGAGTGCCCAGCAGCCCTAGATCGTATCCCAGTCGGTTTTGATCTTTATATGATGCACCAAGAATTTTACATGTTCATCATTGTACTGGCACGCTTGTGCAAGGAAGGGTAAGCGAACAGACCGGCACTATGCAAACGCTGCACAGCTATTCTGATCACCCTGCGTCGCATGTGACCAAAGAAGGTGAAACTGTGTTGTAGGTTCGAAGCGACAAATGCCTGGTTATAATTAATTGCAGCTGGAAAACACTCTGCCGACGATGCAGCGTAGCGTGCTTTTCCTTGTTGCAAAAGGATTTGATATTTGGAAGTATGTTCGGAGATTCGCAACCGGTTACGTTTACCTTAAATCGATTTTGTTACCACACTCCAACGAAAATCGAGTACGCTCCAAGTACATCGAGCTAACGACCGATTTTATAACTGTAACTGTGTATCGAATCCTCTTGCAATCCTACACAAACGATTGACACATTGGTTCGAGTGTGATAATACATACATTTTAGAAGTTCACTGAGAAACTCTTGGTCTTCGCTCAACACGATCTATTTTCAGAACAACCGTTCCTATGAGCGCCTCTCGTCCGTTAAACTGTGATGGGAAAGATAATAACAGGACAAACGGTTCCAGTAAGTCTCGATTACATTTTTCCCGCGCTTTTCGGCTCTTGCTACGGTACCCACTAGCATCCAATAAGACTAGAGTCCAAGTAGTAAGAGTCCTGATCACGGTTCCACTGTACCATGATTTAATGACTAACATTATTGTATAACTTGCAGAGAGAATGGCATATGAGGTATTTCTGGGTGGATCTTGTAATCCAACTACATGGAGATCAGAAATAGCGATACCGACTCTGCAGAGCCTCGGCATAACTTACTACAATCCCGTACGTGTTTTCTTCAACTTTACAGGGTAGCCTAGTTTTAGCTAAAAAGTTATTCTTTCCAAAACTTCTAGAATAATATCAAGCCCATATTCAAAGAGTATAAACTAAGTTCTCTGTTGAAGAATACAAGGCAGAAGTAGTTTTGCAAGAATTGCATCCTTGCGCAAAGCAATCGATCGAACCAAGATCCAAGGTTCTAAACAAATATTTATGTAACACCACTTCTGCCGCGTATTTTGCAACGCGAAAATCACCACGCAAGTTTCAGTAAAAATTGCGCAGGGAAAGAATCGCAAAGATCACTTTAATTTCGTCATCCTAATCCGGGCTATCCTCTTGAGTCATATCTGTTCGAGTCACCGTCACCAGTTTCTCGCTCCAGACAATGGCTGACGGTTGGCATTATGGGTTTCAGCAAGTGTCGCAATGGGGGCCAGAACTGATAGCTCAAGAGTACGAGGCGAAGCAGACGGCGAAAGTATTACTGTTCGTGATAGATAATCAGACGCGTAACAGCGCGGGCATCATCGAAGCAGCGCAATTGGCAGCTACGCGTCGCGAGTCCTTGATCCTGGTGATCTACCCGTATCGGCAGGATCAAACGATCCTCGGCGAGCCGGTGTCGATACAGTAAGTAGCACGCATAAACAAGATTGTCAGACGATGCATGCCTGTGGAAAAAAATAGAACAATGACAAACACCCTGTTTAGGGAATATTACGACTTGATGAATGGCCTGTTGGTACTGCAGTACCTCATGGAGAGGCAGAGGATACCGATATTCGAGAGCGTGTCGGTCGCCCTAAATTGTACGTCCAAGGTAATCCGAAACGACCGGGAATAACATACACGTGTAAAACGTATTCGTTACCTATCTACAGAGCGACTTGGTTGCTAACTAAAATAATTTGATCCACGCCGTAGGTCCTGCGCGAGGAGATTAAAGTACAAGATCTGCATTCCGAGGATGGCATTCGACCGGCCAAAATTTCGCTCAGTCAAAATGGAACGGACTCCGTGTAAGAATAATTTTCTGCTAAGCATCGCGTACCTCTCGTAACATTCCTCGCTGTTTCATTCCTCGAATTTTCCCAATCGCAGCACGCTCAGAGACATTTTCAAGTCGATGGACATAAACGACACCGGCAGCGTTAATTTGGCCGAAGTGAGTGACTCTAATTACGAGTTATTTTCAGACGATATTCTTCGCGATTAACGGTTCACGTTTGGTTTTGCAGGCTTGGCTGGCGCTACAGTCGAACGTGTCGGTCTCGGATCTGCTGAATGTGGTAAATAAGTCGGGTAATAGATTCTTACTTGATTTTTTTAAAAGAAAGAAACAAGAATTATTGCGTAGGACCGCCGCGAGCCAACCTTCTACCGGTTCTCTCGTTGTCCGGCATTCTCTGAGCTCGCGTGTATGTTCTAGAAACGTACAGGCGGTTGATAGACGACGGGTTTCCGGTGAAGAAAGATCCGACGGAATTACGGATCAATTTCGAACAGTTCAGCGCCCTAGCCAGGGAATCGGCGTGGCGGACGAAGAGCAACGGCGTCTCTTGTGAAAGTGAGATATCTTCAGTTTGGAGTATAATATGTAGGAAGGCCTCGAAATTTCTTCGCAGAGCTATCATGCAACCTTTTAGCCGCTTCCTAGGTATTTTCTATTCTCAAAAGTTTCCAGTGCTCGGTAGAACGCGCGGTGTACGCGGAAGCGAGCGAACGACACCGGTCGCAGAGACAATTGAACGGCTGTCCGGAAGAAGGGCTCGCGTTACGTTTCACGAAGCTTACAGTAAAACCTTGTAAACCGATTCGTTGCTCGCTGTCGCGATTCAAGAAGCAACTGGTCCAACCCTCCTTCCATTACAGAAGGAAAACTAAAGTAAACTAAGTAAATAAAAGAAGAAGAAGAAAAATATAGACTAGTACACTCTAATAAGACGAACGTTGCGCCAGGTGCTTCTTGAATTGCTGCTGCAAGCGTCGCGAAACGTAACGGAATTTTTCCAGGCATTCGTTCAATTAGCGTAACTCGAGAAGTCGTGACGGAACGTTGACCTTGACTCGCAGGAACGGATACGATTTTACCGGTGACACTGTTTAGATTGGACCAACTCGATCGTAATGGAAACGGAAAAGAGGGACCTGTACGTCGGCGTGATCGGCGAGGACCAGTTCTGGCTGGAAACCGCCGCTAAACCCTCCATCGAGTGAGCATTCTAGCTACAAAGTCCGTCGACGGCGTCGTCGAGTCTACGTGGAGGTTTGTTCTTCCAGGTCCAGGGGACTGACCTTGAACCGGCCCTGCCTGAACGAGTACAACGAGTACAACGTGAAGGTGTTGCCGCAGGAGTTGCAAAAGATGAAGAACTCCCGGGTAATGTTACTGGTCGTGCCGCAGCACTCGCGCGGCATCACTATAATGGCACTGGCAGCCCACCTAATCGGACTGCGTGCCAAACTGGTTTTATGCGTTCAGACGCTTCCCGAGGGTTGTGTAGTTTCCGGTGAAAAGGTGAGACTTCAACGGCTTACCTTATCCTTCACGCGGCTTCCGCAGTTTTCCTCCGTAACGTCGCGCCTCCGTCGCCCCGTCGCGCCACCTAGCTCTTAGTCGCTGGCCAATCAGAGCGGAGGTAAAATAGCTTCCGCTGGCCCGGACTGACCCGCTTCACGGTCCCGGCTTACGGAGGAATTACTGTAACATTTTGTTGTTGTTTTTTACTTTGTTTGATTAACCGACGATATTTGTTGTGTCCAGCTAACCGAACAAGCCACAAAAGACTACAACCGGGGAAGAATGTACCTGTCGGACTACGCGACGCGCGAAGGTGTACCTGTCTTTCAGAATATCGCAGAAGCTCTGCAACACGCGATACAGCTAGTTCAAACCGTTCGTTGACTTTCTTCTACTCCTTCTCTACTACCCCCGCCCGTTACCCTCTCGCCGCCCTACCAACCCCTCCGCCACACCGTCCTCCTCACCCGATACCCTTACTTTTTCTAATACTACTTTTTTCATCTTCGACACTTTTTTCTATTTCTTTGTCGTACGTGTAAGCTTTGCGATTCATCGATTAATTTATTTTTACACTTAGTAACGTTCAACTACCGATCGAGATCCGAATAACAGAATATGGAAAGCGTGTCGGATTTTGTTACTCAGTCGTTGCTGTGACGATACAGGGGTTTGTTGCGATATACGTATACTCAGCACACGCGCGCGCGCGCGCGCACGTACACCGCCGACCAAAAGTTATTACGGCGAACCTACTTCGGATCGAAGGTAAATCGGAAATCGGTTCTTTTCTTTTTTTTCTTTTGTTTCGTTTAAAACGAGCCCCACCCATCCAGACTGCTCGTCGAGAACGCAATTTCGTGGGTTCCGCGAGGCAGTCCACAAGGGTGGTGGATCATCTTTCGGTCGACGGTGTACAGAAAAACTAGCGTTTACTTACTCGTTCCACGACCAACGCGTCCACGATCGTTCGTTAAACGTCACGCGTTCGACGCTTATCGAGGTTCTAGTGAAACGTCTCGCGGTAATTGAACACATTTTTTTATAGCGATTGAACTTGGTAATTTTGTAACCTTTTTGGTAACTACTACTGGTTGAGGATTGATACACATGTATTGTACATAGATTACTAGTTGTTTTTAACGATCTAATGATAAAGTAATTTGAAAAATTTTGGTAAAACGAAATGTACGTAACTGTGGGTATGCGTGCTATAGAGACACTATTGAATGATACGTGCCGTGCGACTGTTTCCGTGTGTATGTTAATTTGCGTGCGTGCGTGTGTGCGTCCGTTGAGCGAATGGATATTATGTTGCTGACTGCTTGCTCGCGTGTGTGTGTACAGTGAGACGAGACATACGTGTACCTGTACGAACAAACATCTTATTCAGCGCTAACTGAAGGTGTTGTACACCGTGACGCGTAACGCAAGAGAACATTGTGAACGTATTATCCGTGCACAAGAATTAATAACGAGAGAAAAGTTGGGATTCCGGGCACGTGCGTGCGCGTTGTCGTCGATGTACAGTCGAAGAGGGGGGGAAAAAAAGTCATGTCAACAACGCTCGACGAGATGGAATACCGACTGGCTCAATATATTTTTTTCTTTTCTCTAGTTCCCTCCTTTTTTTTCTTGCGAACACTTTATTGCTACCGCTTTCAAAATACTTAATACACAATGTTTCGTCCGAAATGCTACGCCCTTGCTTTCCCAGTGACGTAGTACCTGTGTATTTTCTTCAACGAAAGCAGCACCGGCACCATGGCCGGCAGAAACAGAGGGATGTACACAGCGTACCTGTAACGATGCAACAAATTAATTAATTACGATGCGAAAATAATTAATCGATCGTCTAAGTTGATCTAGTAGGATCTAAGTTGATCCAAGATCTAAATCGATCTAGGATCCAAGCTGCTCTAGGAGCACCTAGATCCAATTCTCTGACGACCTACTTCTGGTCATCCGGGAAGTACAGCAGGGCTAGAAGCGTGGGGTCGGAGAAGGCAGCCTCGGCAGCAACGAACGCTTCCTCGCTGGCCAGGAAGCCTTCGACGAGGTTACCCTCGGCCAACCGTTGGGACGAGAACTCGACCAAACGCAGGGCCGTCTTTATTCTGTCCCCGACGACGTCGGTGATCACAATGTTCCCAATCTTCTTCAGGAGCTGGGCCAGCGACTGCAGAGTCAGCTTAGCCGAAGTCAGCTGCTCTATTGTGCGTACACGCATCAGCGCGTCGATTTCCCAATCGGACAGCTTCAATCCTACCGACGAGGTGCTGGTCACGCCCGGGATGAACCTCTGTAAATAGGAATTCGGGGTCACGAACGACGAATCCGGGTTATCCTCTGTGAACGGCAACCCGGCGCGCGGTTATGCATATTGAGAAATCAACGGTGACGCGCCACTGTTGCGGCAACCCTGTGCACACCGTTGTATGCCGGGAAAGCAAGCGACAGGCGCGACGAGGATCTGGCAACGCTGTGAGATGGGAGGCGCGGCGAGACGTGATCACGGAGAGAGGGGTGTGCAATTATCGATGAAGGAATCGTTGGTTGATTACCGGCTCTGGGATACCTAGAAGAAGCTTCAGTTGGGCCAGGAACGTGCCGACGACCGTGGCCTCGGCGGGGACCACGGTGACCGGCTGGTTCGTCTTGTTGCCCGTGCAGGAATCCATCGGGGGATTGACCAGCACCACACCGCCCCATCTGCAATCGAAATAGCCTGAGCAACTGTCGGAAAGGCAAGCCGGTTGGCCGACGCACCGTTACCTTGGCGAGAGGAACGCCTCCACGTTGATGTTGACCTTGGACCGGTGGCCCGACCGGGTGTAAATGTGCAACGGCGCGCTGTCGCAGGGGACAGCGTAGATGACGAAGTTGATGGTCGGGTGGAGGCTCACCTGGGAAGCTGAAACAACACCTCTACCCTCAGACTTCGCGATGTTTCCAAGGTCAGCTCGGCGAACCTACCCAATTTCTTCTCCAACGGCGTGATCAGCTGCGGCAGCACGTCCTCGGGCAACGCGAAATGTCTGCCCAACGGGCTGCTGTCGGGCACCCTTTTCGGGCTGACTTCCAGGGGCAAGAAGTAGAGCCACTGCGACTTCACGGAGAAGCTGGAGATCGGTATCTCCCGAAGGAAGGGCTCGACGTATTCTGGAAGGGAGACGAGAGCTGTGCGCTGAGAGCCGAAGGAACGTCGCCGGAACGTTCTACGTACCCTCGGACATTTTGCGCAGGTCCCAGTCGACCTTCAGCTTATCGGGATCGGGGTTCACGAGAGTGACCAGCACGTCGTAGGACGGACTCGCTGGGAACCGCCTCCTGTTCTCCTCGTCCAGACTGTATCGGGTCGGCTCGGTGAGCGCGTCCTTCGTCAGGGTCAACGACTTCTCCCGCAGCATCCATTCGGACAGCACCTTGACCAAAGTCGAGCCCTCTGGAACCAGATCGGCCGGCGTGACGACGCAGAACAACGGGAGACACGGAAACGAGAATACCGACTGGTCTTCGTGGGGAAGAACAGGGTCCTCTTTGATCCGACCAGGACCGTGTCGTTCGGTGTCCGCGCCTCGAGGAGCAACACCTGACCCACGTCCGTGTCGAAGCTGGTGGCAGCCACCTTCTCCAGGTTGTGTCGCGTGAAAGCCGTGGCTACCAAGCTCGGCGATATCATCCGTTGCTCCACCTGCACGTCGTAGATGTCTGAAACGAGCACATCGAGCTTGACATAAGCTTGACTAGGGGACAGGTCGAAGGTCCGCTTCGCCGATGCACCGAGGAACCCACCAGCTGACCCGAAGGCCTCCATTATCTCGCGGCTGAGAGCCTCCCCTCGGTCCTTGGACGTGGTCGCGAGGACGATCTTGGTTCCAATGGTGACCTTGAGGTCGGACAGCCGCTCGATGCCGGCGTAGGGCAGCGAGACCCTGGGGACGGCGGTGGTGTGCCACCATAACGGGACTCCGATGGCCAATAGCAGCACGACAAACGATATGCTCGCGTACACTCTGTACCTTTCTGTAATTTTAGATGCTCAAGGTCATCGATACTCAACGTCATCCGCGTGTTATTAACGGTGAACCAATTGATCGATGACGTTTATAAGATGAAGAGGAACGATAGGCGAAAAAATAGTTATGTCAAGGTTATTTCAAGGCTCCAAAAATGTCTCGCAATCCGGAAATGGATTCCTCAAGTCATTCGAAGTAACTTTTTCCTCAGCGAAAATTCAATCCGCGGCTTCGTTCGCGAGTTATTAACGAGAAACGCTGACCAATGAGAGTCGAGCTCGACTGGCGCGGGACGGCCCAGCTCCGCTGACTGGCTCGGCCGTCTCGCGCGCCAGCTGATCTCGCCTCTCATTGGCCACTGTTTTTCGCTAATAACTCGTAAACGAAGCCGCGGATCGCATTTTCGCTGTGGAAAAAGTTACTCGTAATGACCTCGGGAACCTCCCATTTCCGTATTGCGAGACATTTTCGGGACAGCCTGTAGACCCGGCGTTTCGAAGGTGCGCCGTCGCTCGGACGTCACCGAGAACAATCGGACAACGGTCGCCGTTGAACGGCGCAGCCAATTCAGCTTCCCTACCGCACACTTTTTTCTCGTTATCTTCGATTGGAAGATGAACTGTGTCGCCTGCGCAGTGACCGCCGACTTATCGCGAGCACTATAGCAATAGGTACAGCGCCGGGGATCGCTGTTATCTTCGTTGTACGGTTCGCGACACGTGCCGGGATTAGATCAGACTTTCGTATCCCTTCGAATTCGAGCGCCGTTCCCGCCGAAACCGAGCTGTTTCCATCTGCGTCCATTTTGGTAGCGCGACGACGACCATTGGCGGTGTTGTGTCGCGGCTCGCGAGTAATAAAACGAGCCAGAGAAAGATCGGTCGCGCGCTACGGACGGAATACAAACGAGAGGAGCGAAAAGTTGGCCAAGTTCGGCCGGCGACCGTGCACGGAACGCCTCGCGATCGTGTTTACGTCCTCCTCGAATCGTGACGGGTTACGCAACGCGAACGAGGACGAGCGGTGCCGTGAGCGGGTTTAATTACCCGATTAGATTGATTTGAATGCTGCTCCGTCGACTTTGTTTCCCTCCCCAATGCGCCCGCTCCGGCATGCCACGAGACGTAAAACGATCGCTTTAAGTGATCCGATCCCGAGACTCCGGCGCAGGTTCAAACGATTTCGACCAACAGTAAATTCCCCAATTGTACGCCTCGGCTCGCGCGACAGCCGCTTCTCGCCAGACCGCTCCTCTCGAAGGGCACTCGCTCGCAACCCCCTCCTTATCTTATCTGCCTCGTAAACTTTGTAAAACAACACCCCGGACCGGCATCCTAACCCCGATAACACCCCAGGAATTTAGAGACTGCGTCCAGCATCCAGCATCTTTGAACTGTTTCGAAACCGTTTCAAAACAGGGAAATATTTGGTTGTTATAAAATTCGATCGATGCTCCGAATCGTACGTAGAATAATTCTGCGGACTCTGTCAAGTACGGCGGTATTTATTTTTACAATGTTATAAACATTTGAACACGGCAAGGAAATGTTTTGAAAAATGTGGGACGTCGTTAACAGACATTTTTGGGGCTTTGTGTCTTTCTCTTTGGAAATTGTGTAAAAATATTTATGTGCGTAGGATGTGATTAAAAAGTATACTATTGTATTCGGGAGAGTCTAGAGGATTATTCTGTGCAAGACTGATTCGCATAACTGTGATAGTTGCGGTAGGAAAAATTGCAGGAGAAGACAATTCGTTGGGCAGTGATCTTTCTTCGAACTCGACTGTTTCTTTCGATTTGGAAATTTTTAAACAATGTTTATCGATAAAAAATATACCATTGTATTCGGCAGAGTCTACAGAATTATTCTGTGCGAGAGTGATTCTCATAACTGTGATAGTTACGTCAGGAAAAATTCTAGAAGAAGACAATTCGTTGGGCAGTGATTTTTCATCGAAGTCATGACTTACAGATCGTCTCTTCCTTTTCGAAATTTTTTAAAAAATGTTTATCTACATACAATCCTTTAAAAAGATATACCATTGTATTCGGCAGAGTCTACAGGATCATTCTGTGCGAGAGTGATTCTCATAACTGTGACAGTTGCGACAGGAAAAATTCCAGAAGAAGACAATTCGTTGAACAGAGATCTTTCGTTGAAATCACGAATTACCGCTTGTCTCTTCCTTCTTGAAAGTTGCTAAAAAATCTTTAACAATATACAATTCGATAAAAAATGTATGCGATTGCATTCGGGAGATACTACAGAATCGTTCCACGCAAGAGCAATTTCCATATCTGTGACGGTTGTTGCAGGAAAAATTCCCGAAGTGGGCAATTCCTCCGACAGTAATTTACAAATGAATGATTTTTCCTTCCTCCTTAGACATTTAAAGAACAAAAATGTCGAACGACTTACGATTCGCTAGAAACATGTACCATCGTATTCGGAAGAGTCTACAGAAGCATTCTACGCGAGACTGATCTCCCCACCAACGACGGTTGCTGCAGGAAACATTCCAGAACATGTGAATTTATTCGACAGTTATTCGCGAACGAACGATTGTCACCGGCGATGGACATAATACAACTCTTTCTCATGATTTCCAAGCAATTCGATGCTTGAGTACTCGTTTGAGTGTTTCGATATGTATCGAAAGATAAGAAACTATTCAATTCATGATACCACCACATGTTAAAACGATAGCAAATAGCACTGCTATCACGGCAACATCGAATATACCGAACCGACGTCACATCAACTTCTCCTTCAAAAAATCGTTAAAAAACTCGGCCACCAAGAATCTATCTGTACAAAAAATATACCGTTGCATTCAGGAGACTCTACGAAATCGTTCTACACAAGACGAAATCCCATATCGTCAACAGTCGAAGCAGGAAAAATTGCGGAACTCGAGAAACCGTCTGCCCGCTGACGGCGGCGGTCACCGACAAGCAAATCAACACCTGTTTGATCCGCGATCGACTACTCGGTCCCGTTCAGCGCCCATCGAGGGCAGGCGGTCCAGGGGCGACGGTTTTCGGGCGGGCCAACCGCGGAAGAAGCGCGTTCTTCTCGTATCAAGGTCGATCGTCCGCGTCGGCCAGCGACTTTTGCGACGATGGTTTATCGAGTTCACGTAGCAGACTTTGAAGAGTGCCGCGAGCAACCGGAGGACTCTCCTCTCCGTCCCGGTTGGCAAAAACATCGCGTGGAGGAGAGGACACGAAGAGGACGCTGCGGCGGACAAGAAGAGGAGCACGAGGAGGAGGGGGGGAAGGGAGACGAGCACGGCGAGAAGAAGAAAACGAACCGGCGCTGAATCGAGTGAGTGACACCCGGGGGAGGGAAAGAGCGAGCGTCCGGGGGAGGGAGAGAGAGAAAGGGCGAGATCTCTCGTTAGAGGAGAGGGGTGATAGCTTAATCAAAGCGGAGGCCCGCGCGCGGCCCGAGCTCTGCAACCGTCCGAGTAGATCGACGGCCAGTGGTGCAGCGGCGTGCGTGCAGCCGTCGAAACCGGAGCCGCCGCTTTTCAAAAGCCGTGTGTGTCCGAAGTCGCCCGGCCACGGCGAAACCGAGCCTCTCTTTGCTTTTGTCCGGCCAGAGAAACAACCGGGATTTATTTATCGATCGACGCACGCACCGGATGGTACGGAATTCATTCTTCTCATCGCGCGTATACGTGTCCATCGCGCCAAGTCGCGTCGTACGTCGGCCGCTCTTTGATCGGATCGCAAGAAATCGCGTTGTGCTACGAACGATCCTGATTCGTGGAACGTGCCCGCAGGGTGGACGCAGTGATCGGTTCGGTTTCGAAGTCGACACGGGCTCGGAAGTCGACCCGACACGTCGTTCGGCTACGCGGAGCCTCTTTGGGGTTGTGACTTCGTACAGTGTGATCGTGGAGGAACGTTGATTTATCGACGATTTTTCTGGTCGCTCGGAAAGGAAACGATCGATTTTTCGGTGACGATAACGCGAGCGTTTCACGCGGCTTCGACGAAATCGGCCCGATAGATTAGAAACGGCGTTACGCGTGATTTTCGCGAAATCGTCGGAATTCGACATTTCGTGGTTCCGTTGTAAGAGGTACTGTCACGGTGATCTTTAGCTCGTTTTGTAGTTAAAAGCGTATACTTTCGCGAGACGTTACTCGTTTTTTTCGTTTTCTGTCTTTTGGAGGAGAATTGTTGCACGATACGGCGGAAGGAGGACGGAAGACGCGATTTTAATTGCTGCAACATTGAAGGTTCGTGGAACGATTGAACAATTCTTTTTTTACACTGAAAATAACGTTGATTTGAAGGTCGAAGCTTCCTCTTTACGACGGGTATTCGAAACTTGGCGTACGATTTTTCTTTTTAGCCTTTTCAGGACACGGAAGCGATCCTTCGAATCCCTTGAATCGCAGCAAAACTCGCGTCTTTCGTTCGAAAATCGATCGGCCGGAGAAAATCGTCGATGAAAAATTAAGACGTTGTTGAAAAGGGGGAGCTTCGTTCTTCGAATTCGCGGTGATTTCGAAGAAAATTTTACAGCGATCTAACGAGACGTTCAGCGTCGCGGTACATCCCGCGAAGCACACCTTCGGTCAGCCGCTTGGCAAATCGCGATAAAAAAGAATTAATGACGCCTCTCGTGAAAGTCGTGGTTTCCGATCTTCGAGATGACCGCGCGTTTATTCGCGCGCGATTCTCCTTTTCAGAAACCGTAACGGTCTAAGTATCGATCAGAAAAAACGAATCGATCGCGACGGTCGTTCCAATAATTTTCATTGGCCTCTCAAACCTTTGCGGTCAACGCGTAATTGAACCTCGGCAAGTAGACTTTTAGGGCATCGAAGTTCGTACAGCGTTGCACTTTCGCGGCGCCGGAATTGCAGTGAATTCTACCGAATTTTCCTTCGTCTTTGTACACGCAAAAATGGAGAATTTGAGAAAACGATTATAAACGATTATAAAATCGTAAAAACTTGGAAAAACTTGTCGAAAATTCTATGTCGACAATTATAAAATCGAGGTACATAATATAATAGTGGTTAATTTAATAATTTACTTTAATTTTGCGTTAATTTAATTCATTAACGTAAATAAATGAATTGTTAATTAAAATAATTTTTCTGCTCCACGGTATTTCTATTTTATATAACCTAGTGTATTTTCAACATACGAAACTGAATTTTACGAGCCGTGCAACAGTTACGCTTTCGACAGTTCTTTAAATATAAACAAATTTGATTAATGAAATTATTTTCAAACTTGACGTAACAGTTCTTAACGGCGCCTCGGAGTCGCCAGTCGAGTACAAAGCGTTAATATAATGTAATATAATTAGTAGTTAAAATATAATATAATATAATAGTAGTTAATATAGTATATAACATAATTAGTAGTTAATATAATATAATATAATTAGCAGTTAAAAAATATAATATAGTTAGCAATTAAAAAATATAATATAACTAGCAGTTAAAAAGTATAACATAATTAGTAGTTAAAATATAAAGTATATAACAATCGCATCTCCTACTCTGATTGCCCTAATAATCAATTTTCGTTTACAAGCTGAAGGAGAATTCAGAAAAATTTACTGAAAACGTGGCGCAGTCTGGAAAAACTGACGCCGTTATCAGTTTTTCCTCCTGACATCGTATCGGTCGCGAGGAAATAGCGACTTTCGAAGAGCCGTTTACTAGCGTGTAACAACTTATTAAGCAATTATCGGCATTCCGTTTCATAGCGCAACGCGATCGCCGTGCATTTTCAAGTAGCTCCGGTCGGCAGTGGGTTGGTTCAATGTCGCAGAGCCGTAGCTTGCGACAGTGTCGGAATCGTTTCACGAATCGTTTTCGGCAACGGTAAAGAGAAACGAGAACGTGCGGGGAATAAATAGGGCCGCGTGGAAATCGCGGCTTTCGAAATTCCCGCGGCTCGAAATTCGGTCGGCGTTTTCCGCGTGTTTTCCCGGTTCACGGCCGGGTTAAACGACGGCTCGGGGAGGTCAATTTCGCGCGGTGTCGCTCGGCAAAATTGTTTAACCGGTGATCCGCGTCGTGTTATGCAACGCGGCGTCGAATTCGACCGAGAAACGCGACGCGCACTCGTGCCGCGCCGCCAGTCGGACACCTGCGAGCCGATTCGCCGGCCGCCCGCCCCTCCTGCGACCCGCGGAACACGCCCACTGCCCCCACTCCCCCGAATTTGCGTTTGCACGGGCGTAGAGGACCGCGTGAAAATATATAAATATATAATATTATATAAATATAAATATATGATATTATATACTATATAAATAATATATATCTATTTTTTTTATATATTATTTATATATTATTATATATTATTTTATTATAATAATATATATATATATATATAATTATATAATACTATATAACTAAAAATATATAAATATCACTCCCACGCAATCGCGCCGCGCAGAAAATTCGCGTCGATTTCCAACGCGCCGCTTGATCACTTGAAAAACGAATTCCTCCAAAAATAAAATCTCTCGAGTTTCAAAATTTTTGCCGTCTGAACCGCGACAGCTAAACGGACGATCTCCGTGCGGCACGATTCCACGGGCTTTCCTGGACACGGGCAGCGTATTTGTTTAGGTGCCGCGCGTCCAAGCTGCTCTCGAAGTGGGGGGACCTTCGCGTCGGTATTTTCGCGCCGTAGCCGGCACGCGTTCGACGCGGAGAATTTTCCGCGTATTAAAATGATTAAAGAATTACACGGTTTGGCAACAGCTTCGCGCAATCGATTCTACGGATCGGAGCATTTTACAACGGAGATCCAGATAACGGACGGCGGCTATCTTTTCTCCCGTTGGCGAATAAAAAGGAAAAACAAACAAACGGATAGAAAACAGCGCGGATCACGGGCACGTTTTTTCTTCTCTGGCTGCGCAGGGAGCAATGGCCACGCAGCCCGGCGGTCCCTACCCGGAAATGAACAATTCCGTGGACACGAGGTACGTACGCACGCGTTATTGTGCACGAAAACACACAGTCGACGCCGTATGAAAGCCGGTCACCCTCTGTCTGTCTCTCCGTTGTCTCTGTTATCCAATCGTCAGCTGTTTCAGGAAGACAACGAACTGCGGGGCTCTGCTCCTCCGATTTCTCTCGATCTACTGGAGGTCGTTCGTGATCGTGCTATGGCCGCTCGTTTTGCTGCCGGTCGTCCTCGCCGTCAATACCGAGGAGGTTCGTGGAACGAGCAATAATTCACATTTTTACGGCGCGATTCTTACGCGCCAACCTAATACATATTAGGTCGTTCAGTGTGAAATGCCCGATTACCTAAAGCATCAAGTTTGATATCCGATGTTCCCGATATTTCGCTCCGACCGTCCTTTGTTTCTTTTTTTATTTGAGAAGGGATACGCCATCTGGCTTTCACAGATGCATTCTTTTGTTTTTAATATTGTCGTTGTTGTTGTTGTTATCTGAGGGTTAAATATTGTAAGCCATGGAAAAAATAAAAAATAATAAATATATATAATAAATAATATATTTATATATATATAAATATAATAATTAATATAATTATTATATTTATAATTAATTATATATATACATAATTAAACTTTCCGACTTATATTATTTCCATTTGATACGACAAAGTGCATTTTATGCATACGAAATTGAGCCTCGTGGTGACTCGTACAACAGAGTTACACTTTTCACAATTTTTTAAATCTAATATTCAAACCAACGCTCTACTTTTCGATCGTTAACAGTATTTGCAGCATTATTATGAATTTATTTATACTCATTTATTTATACTAATTTAGTTTATACTCGGATAAAAATATTACACGAATATCGGTTGAATTCGTATATCCTCGCGAAATTCAAAAGAAATGACAAAATGGAACACTTTCGAGAAAGTCTTCTTCGTTGAAATGCGACTCTGGCAATGAACAAGTGCGACTATAAACAAGATTATGCGAAAAACAAAAGATAACGAAAATAGGGAGACAAACGTTCGCACACGAAGAAAATCCGACGTTTCATGTGCGCCAACCTAATATTATCTCGAAGCACCGCTGCATTTCCTGCACAGTTTTTTCGCTGTCGTTTTTTTCTTCTTTCTCTCTCTCTCTCTCTCTCTCTCTCTCTCTCTCTCTCTCTCTCTCTTTCTCTCTGGCTCGACCTATGTCGCGAACGAAACGTCGGTCACGATTCTTGGGTTCAGGTGTCGGCGATGCGGTGCCTATTCGTGGTCGGGCTGATGGCCATGTTCTGGATGACCGAGGTGCTCCCGTTGCCGATCACGGGCCTGATCCCGGTGGTCCTTTATCCGCTGATGGGCATCATGAGCACCGGGGACACTTGCGCGTGCTACATGAACGACACGACCATGATGTTTATCGGCAGCATGGTGATAGCGATAGTCATCGAGAACTCCGGCCTTCACATGCGGGTGGCGTTGCTGATCATCAAAACGATCGGGTGCAGCCATCGCAGGTGAGCTTTTTTTTCTGCCGGCGATGATCGCGGATGATTCTCGATCGTCGTCCCTTAAAGGCCCCGGTGAAAACGGCGGTCCCCCCGCCGGTATATTCTCTCAAATTGTTCGTCAGTTTGGAAACGAAAGGAAAAGTCACTTTGGGAAAAGATTCGCGGCGCATTTTTATTGTAAATCGATAATCGGAGAATGTCGGGTCGAGTCATAAATAACACTTCGGATGCAGCTAGATTGAATTTACTCGCTAAATCAATTATAAGATGACCTTGCAATAACCTTGACTTGACTAGGTTTTTGCTTTTGCTAAATAGATAACGGTTTAAAATGAATGAAATTATAAAATTATAAAATAAGTTATAAGGTGACCTTGCAGTAACCTTGACTTGACGAGGTTTTGCTTTTGCTAAATAGATAACAGTTTAAAATGAATGAAATTATAAAATTATAAAATAAGTTATAAAATAACCTTGACATAACCTTGACGTATCGAGATTTTGCTATCCTTAAATGGATAAGAGTTCAAAATGAATGAAATTACAAAATTATCAAACAAATCATAAAATAACCCTGACATAACCTTGACGTAACGAGTTTTTGCTTTCGCTAAATAAATAAGAATTGAAAATGAATGAAATTATAAGGTAAATTATAAAATAACCCTGACATAATCTTGACGTAACGAGTATTTGCTTCCGCTAAATAAATAAGAATTCAAAATGAATGAAATTATAAAATAACCTTGACGTAACCTTGACAAAACGAGTTTTTGCTTCCGCTAAATAAATAAGAATTGAAAATGAATGAAATTATAAAATTATAAAATAAAACAATATAAAATAACCTTGACAAAACATGTTTTTGCTTCCACTAAATACATGAAAAGAAAGTAGAAAAATAAATAAAAAAAGAAGAGCAAAATAAATGTGTGACAAAATGAACGTCAAATGAACGATAAATGAACTTATGACTCGACCCAATATAAAAACGAGCCACGAGACTCGAAACAATCGTATCCCCTGTTCCCGAGATGACCATTCTCGTTTCCAAACCGAGGGACAATTTCCGAGAATCTACAGTGGTCCCTGATGCAGCGGGCGATCCATCTGGCAACGCTGCCGGACCACCGTCATGGAACGGTCGCAGAGCCCCCTAAAACAATCAGCGTGTGCACACCGTTCGTTTTCCAGGTTGACCCTAGGCCTGTTCTTCGTCACGATGTTCCTGTCCATGTGGATCTCAAACACCGCAGCGACAGCGATGATGCTGCCCATCATAGAGACGGTGCTCCTGGAGATTGAAGCGGTAAGTGGGTCACCCGTTAGACAGGGACTGGCCCTACAGCGACTTTCTCCTGTTTTCAGCAAGGTCTGGGTAGCATGTTCGTACCGGACGAAGAAGAATGCGGTGGGGAGAACGGGCCAGCCGAAGAGTCGTACGTAGCCGTAGATCAAGTACTTGTGCAGCTTGTTTTGAAACAAAGAGCTCCGCCGCCTTGTCGTCAATGTTCTCATGGTGTTCGTGTTTGCAGGCCGAAGAAGCCTACGCGCACCACCATGGTCTACTACCTCGTGGCCGCGTACGCTTCCAGTCTTGGTGGGGTCGGCACGCTGGTCGGCACTGGGACCAATTTGACGTTGAAAGGATTCTTTGAGAAGTAAGCGTTCGTTCCTTTGTTTTCGTCGGAAGTCGATACGGAATGCTCGGTAACGGTGGCAAATGTTTTACCGACTGCCGGCAACCTCGGTTGGCGTAGATGGCGCCACGGTACAGTATCTAAAGATATCTTTTTTTTGGCTGTTGGCCCAGATTGGGCCCAATGCCTTGTATTCAATAAAAAAGAAAAAAAAAGATACCTTTAGACCCCACGCTTATGGGGCATACCAATCAACCCCGTACAATGTAAAGGTGTAACCTGGCAAGTCCTATCTCCTTTCCACCATAATTTTCACACCATGGTCCTTCCATATCCCAGGCAAAGGAGAAATTAAATTCAATAAAAAGAAAAAGATATCTTTAAACCCCACGCTTATGGGGCATACCAATCAACCCCGTACAATGTAAAGGTGTAACCTGGCAAGTCCTATCTCCTTTCCACCATAATTTTCACACCATGGTCCTTCCATATCCCAGGCAAAGGAGAAATTAAATTCAATAAAAAGAAAAAGATATCTTTAAACCCCACGCTTATGGGGCATACCAATCAACCCCGTACAATGTAAAGGTGTAACCTGGCAAGTCCTATCTCCTTTCCACCATAATTTTCACACCATGGTCCTTCCATATCCCAGGCAAAGGAGAAATCCTCGAGATTCCAATACCTAAAGAAAGATGGTTCCTGTTTTATGGTGCTGTGTTCCAGGCGTTTCCCGAATAGTCCAGGCATCAGCCTGGCCTCGTGGATGCTCTACTCGGTGCCACCCATGCTACTGATGGGGTTCCTGACGTGGCTCTGGCTGCAGGTGATGTACATGGGGATGTTCCGGCCTGAAAGCAAGGACGCCAGCGCCATCGACATAGGCTCCCACGGGGAGAAGGTCGCGGCATCCGTGATCGAGACCAAGTACAAGGAACTTGGACCGATCACATGGCACGAATCGGTGGTGGGCTTCCTCTTTATGTTGGTGGTGTTGCTCTGGTTCTTCAGGAGCCCTGGATTTGCCAGCGGTTGGCCCACCTACATCACGAACTTGTGGGTATCCGGAAAACCGGACTCTCCCCGTGGAGATTTTAATGAATTGCGGGGCCTTCTGGTTGCAGAAGTGTCAAAGACTCGACGGCAGCCACTTTTGTGATCATCCTATTCTTCCTGCTTCCGTCGAAGCTCGACTTTCTGCGGTCCTTCGACGCGGACCCGGCCAAGAGACCCAGCAAACCGTCCCCTGGCATGATCACGTGGAAAATGATCCATCAGAAGATGCACTGGAGCCTGATCCTCGTTTTAGGAGGCGGGTTTGCCATCTCGGCAGGCAGCACCAGCTCCAACCTGTCCTCCATCCTAGGTCATGCCCTCATAGCTCTGCAGTCTATCGACCCCTTGGCTATACTGTTCATCGTTTGTCTGTTCGCGGAAACCGTCACCGAACTGACTTCAAACGTTGCCGTTGCGAACATCATTCTACCGGTCCTGGCGGAAATGGTAGGTCTTCTTATTTTATATCACGGATATAATATTCATTCTACATCGAGGATTTTGGTTCCAGTGCATTGCCATGAGGCTACACCCTCTTTACTTGATGCTGCCGGCCACTTTGTGCTGTTCCTTTTCTTTCCACCTACCGGTAGGCACACCTCCGAATGCCATAGCCACTGCCGCGGCTCATATAAAGACCAGAGATTTCGCTATAGCTGGAATAGGACCCAGCGTTATCACCCTCCTGGTCACAACACTCGCGTTCGCCACTTGGGGGGCCTACGTTTTCAATTTGTCAGAGTTCCCTGACTGGGCTACTTAAATTTTTCCATCGACTGCTCTAGGAAAGTTTCCTGTGCCTTCGCTATTGAAGGTGTCGGTTCGACACTTATGGTTGGTGATAGACGCGTCCCTAATCTTTGTACAGTATAGAAACCGCGTAGCATATTGCTTAGTTTCGAGCAGTATTAGTGTCAGAGAGTTTGCTGTGTGCCTTAATAAAAGATAGAGGAAGGGAGAACGAAGGGAGAAGCAATAAAGTAGCTTACCATCGATGGAAGTGTCGTATTCTATGGTAGTTTTCTCCTCTTTCCCCATGATGTGGCTTCCGGTACTCCAAATTCGAACCGAGTAGCGTTAAAGCGTTCCTTTTATCATCACTTTACCGATATATTTATTTATCCGTCGTGGAACATAACCTGTAAGAAGCAAATCGGAGTATGTTAATCTGCAGCGAAAAACGAATATTGATTGTTTATGGTTTTATTGCACAAATGACTGGAGATTGATTAGCGATAATTGAAGAATACTTACACACTTATTATCTTGTAAATATCAACTGTTCGGTAACTTCTTAGGTTAGCTTTCACGACACCGACTACGATTCATTTAAATTCACTTCTGCTTCTGAGAAGTACTGACTACTTCGTAATTTTCGTGAGGATCGCAAGAGGGCGCTCGAGTAAAAGTAGAGAACACGAAATCTGTACAGCAGATAACAATCTACTTAGTCAGTAAACTCACGCGAATACTCTAGTTTCTTGAAATGTATTCCCGTGGAAATTTTCAAGCTTTCTGCTTGCTTCAAATGATAGCTGGGAAAATGGACATTACGATAAGATTACTTTCGTTTCAAGAAAAATCCGAAATCATGTCGAAAAATCAATAAATCTTGGTAGGTATCGCCAAATTGACATTGTGGCGCCATCCTACAGCGATTGCCTGAAACTGTTCAACGGAGGGGGTTCACCGTTTTCCCGTAGATGGCGCCACATGTACCATTTCGTGCATTTTAGTCGGTTTGAAGCTTAAGCATTTCGACGTCAGATGGCACCACATTGTCAATTTGCGTTTATAAAGTAGATCAATTAATTAATATATCAATTTTCCGTCCAGTTTTCTTCATTTAACAGAATCAAATACCTCTAACGATACTTTGCACCGTCTGAAATGAAATTTTAATACGCATCAGTAATAATTAACTCGAGAGAGAGTCTGATTTTAAGTATATCTTATTGTAAATAAATTATTTCATAAAGAAATCGCTTTTGATATATAAGAAAATGATAATTAATGCAACGTTGATAACACAGAGTATTTAGATAATGTTCAACCACAGATGACGCCAGCGGTATAACAAAGTGGTTTCTTCAGAATTTAATTAAAAATCAATTGTTATTAAGTGTTCTCCTCCATAGTCGATTCTATTAGCATAATCCCGTGTATTTTCGACGTCGGTTTATCCAGCCATAATTTATCAAGGCTAATAAACACAGAAGCAATGGCTACGATCACTGTAACACAAAATAATTCATTAATGTTGCAACGCAGTTGCATTCCTGGATGCAGGGTCAATTGTTGATCGCAGCAGAGTGCATTCTGCATCAAATGCAGTAATTATTTCAGCTCTATTAGGATACACTCGCGCCACAAAATCGATGATGCACTGTGGCCCGGTGATATAAGCGCCAAATTAATTGCACAAGTTAAAAACTAAGTTGGAATTTCATTTTCCCGTTATTGAATCCAAAGAGACAGGACATTTTGCTTCGAGAACTCGTACGAATTTTATTTTTAGCGACGTTTCCTAATCTACTACCATTTCTGAATCTCTCTTTCTATTAGACATTTAAAGAAACATGTTTAACTATTTACAATTTGATACAAAAATACACCGTTGCATTCGAGAGAGTCTACAGGATAATTCTGTGCAAGACTGATTCCCATAACTATCATAGTTACGGCAGTAAAAATTCCAGAAGTAGACGATTTGTTAGACAGTGATCTTTCGCCGAGGTCATGAATTACCGATCGTCTCTTCCTCTTTGAAAATTAAAAAAATATGTTTAACTGTATCCAATTCGTTAAAAAAGTATATCATTATATTCGGGAGAGTTCATAGAATCGTACTACGTATGAGCGATTGCCATATCCATGACGATTGCGGCAGGAAAAATTCCAGAAGTTAACAATTCATTGGACAGTTACTTTCGAACGAATGATTTTGCCACTTCATCTTTGAAAAATCCTTGAAAATGTTTAAACATCTAGAATGTATACACAAAATATACCGTCGCATTCAGGAGAGTCTACAAAATCGCCCTACGCAAGAGCGATTGCTATATCCATGACGACTGCAGCAGGAAAGATTCCAGAAGTTAACAATTCATTGGACAGTTACTTTCGAACGAATGATTTTGTCACTTCCACTTTGAAAAATCTTTGAAAATGTTTAAACATATAGAATGCATATAAAAAATATACCGTCGCATTTGGAAGAGTCTAGAGAATCGTACTACGTAAGAGCCATCTTCATATCCATGTCGATTGCGGCAGGAAAAATTCCAGAAATTGACAATTCATTGGACAGATATTTTCGAACGAATGACTGCCACTTCCTCTTTGAAAAATCTTTGAAAATGTTTAAACATCTAGCATGAATATAAAAAATATACCATCGTATTTGGAAGAGTCTAGAGAATCGTTCTACGTAAGAGCGATCTCCATATCCACGTCGATTGCGGCAGGAAAAATTCCAGAAGTTAACAATTCATTGGACAGATATTTTCGAACGAATGACTGCCACTTCCTCTTTGAAAAATCCTTGAAAATGTTTAAACATCTAGAATCTATATAAAAAATATACCGTCGCATTCGGGAGAGTCTACAGAATCGTCCTACGCAAGACCGATTCCGGTAGCTACAATGGAATTCGCCAGAAACGGTCTAGATCCGTTCAGAGTCCGGCGAGGTTTTCCGATCAGCTATAATTTCGAGAAACGGCGTTGCGAACTCGCGGTCCGATCGATCTCGTCGACGGCAACGATTCCGCGAGCGCGGCTCCGCCGTAGGCGCAAGAAACGGTTTGCCGAGAAAAGGGTAGGTAGCATAATTGGTCGGGAGGGATCCGTTGGCGCGGGCGCCTCGTAATTCATTTAGACGGTGGCTCGTCGGGACGGGCTCAATTACATCGGTCGCAAAAAAGCCCCGGGGGCAGCTTCCTCGTACGACGTGCGTGGTCCGTGCGCGGTGTCGCCCCGGAACACGCGTCGCGTACTTTTCTTTCAAAGGGCCCCGAAGAAACCGCCGCCTCGCGGCTCGTGTCCTGCGTCACTCAACCGAGCGCCGACTCTTTAAAGACTCTTAAAGACTCTTTGTCGTCCGCGGGGCCGAGCCTCGCCCGCCATTAAGACGAGCCTCCTGTACGTGCAGAACGCGAGGAATCCGCGCCAAGGATCGCCTACTAGGAGGTCCACGCATTCTGCTCCAGCTTCATCCAAACCCTGGCCCTCTAATAACTCTCTCCAACCTTGAAACCCTTGTTCTCCCACCAAACTTGCTGCTTTCCGAACGATTCGCACTCGTTCGGACATTTCTCGTCGCTTCTGGACGATCTCTCGACCCCCGGGACCTCTACCGGCGCTGTGCGATCCTGCACTTCACTGGTATAACAAATTTCAACTATCTTGAGCTAGGAAATTTCTCCAAATCCGCTTTTTTCGCGAATTTATCAAGTCGCGCATAGGTCCTTGATACTTTTCTGGGGGTAACACACCTTCGTCGGGGGACTTCAGCTTTGAATTTGATTAACTCGATGGGAAAAAATCGCAGCGCACTCGACCTGTACTCGTTTCAATCTTGAAAGTAGCCTCTATCGAATGGCATAGGTCTCGTTTGCGTAAAAAAATTTCTTCGCCTCGTACGATTTTGTAAAAGTCGACGAAATTCTGACGAGGACTCAATTTTCCCACTTCTCGCGTAAAATTCGAGCTTGCTTCGAAGTGGAATTACTCGGCTGAAAAAAATCGCACGACTACGAATTCATGCACATTTTACTCGGAAAAGTTGCCACTTTCGATCAGCTTGAGTGGCATTTGCGGAAAAAATTCTGTTCGTTGCAGACAGCGTTGCAAAGTTGATCGAAATTTTGATTAATCGTCAATTTTTCCTTATTTATTGTAAAAAGTTACCTCGCATCGAACTTGAATAACTCGGCTGAAAAAAATCGAGCGACCACGAATCTGCACTCATTTTACTCGGGAAAGTAGCCACAATCGACTGACATAAGTGTTGATGGCGGAAAAAATTCTGTTCGCTCCGGACAGCGTTGCAAATTGGACTGGAATTTTGATCAATCGTCAATTTTTCCTCACTTGTAAAAAGTTACCTCGCTTCGAACTCGAATAACTCGGCCGAAAAAAATCAACTGACCACGAGTTCATTCTCATTTTACTCAGGAAAGTAGCCACAATCGATTGATATAAGTGTTGATGGCGGAAAAAATTCTGTTCGCTCCGGACAGCGTTGCAAATTGGACTGGAATTTTGATCAATCGTCAATTTTTCCTCACTTGTAAAAAGTTACCTCGCTTCGAACTCGAATAACTCGGTCAAAAAAAATCAGCTGACCACGAGTTCATGCTTATTTTACTCGGGAAAATGACCACTTTCGAACGGCATACGCGTCGTTTACGGAAAAAATTTTTATTTATCCCAGGCAGCGCTGCAAAGTCGCTCCAGATTTCAATGAAAATTTCTTTCGCCGCTCTCGTGCCGTAAGTTCGCTGTCAAGCGTCGCAAGAAACACTGACAGACCGCGTTCAAAAGAGCGGATTCCGCCCTTTCGACCGCCAGTTCAACGAAATCGATACGACCATCTACTTCGAAGTTATAGAACAGTGAGTTTGACCATAAACGAATCTGCTGACTCATAACTTGATTCATAGCCGGGCCGCGAAATAAAAATTGTTTGCATTAACTGCAAGCAAACCGGCGCAATAACCGGTGTAACACATCAAAGATAATGCAACAGCATCCACGAGCTCGTTTAATCTATCCACCGTTTCGCGTTTCGCTCGCTGCATTTCGTTGTAATCGCATGAAAGCCGCGGTCGACTCGTAACGAACTCGCGCGATCGAAAGCCAGTTAAACCGTTCGAAAAATCCTCCGTTGACCCAGGTAGCCATCAAAGGACCCCCTCACGTTTTTCGATCGTGTATCAAACGACTGCCCTCGCAGCAATGTATCTGGCCATTCCCCGGCAAAGTATCGCAAA